AAATTCCCAATGTTGTTCCATCTCAGACTTCTCAAATGCTGTCAGAAACTTCTAAGCTGGTCACTCAATTCTAGCTCTATCATTTATAAGAGAGGGTCCTAAAGGCATAGGGACACAGAAGGGCCGATCTATAGCAACAGATCCAAAGTGTTCCTCACCACAGTAGGTACACCTGACAGTCCTCTGGGTCTGCGTGCCCTCGGGACCTCCCAAGGACTCCAGCCTGGAAACATGGACAGAAGAGATAGGTGGTTTTCCCTATGGAGAACGCCTTAGTTCCAGGCTAGTCTCTCCCGCTGGAGCTAGCCAGTTGTTTCAGCACCATGGTCAGGGGCATGCCACACCCTCCCAGGATCTTAGAGGAATTGCCAGACTGGGTTAGCCAGACAGGCGCCAGAAAGAAGCTGAAGTAGCACACAGTGGGGGAAGGGAGTCAAGGGTCTAGGGGTGTCCAAAGCACAGGAGAGCCTCTTGGCTTTAGCCGACCTCAAGTACTGAGCTAGAGCCAAAGCACATAGGAATACAGACTGACACCTCTCTCCTCAATACTCTTACCTATGGGCACAGAGAGAGTTCCATGCAGATAGTTTAAAGCCAAGATCTCAGTCTTAGTTTGCTCCAATAACTCACTGAGTGTTTGGGAGCCTTGGGAAACTCATTTACTTCTGTTTCCGTGAGTGTAATCACCCTGGCTTACCCACCTCCCTAGCTATAGGAGGGTGCTTGAGATAAGAAGGGTTTAGCTTCCAGTGGCCCACTGTAAGTGCACTGGCCCTTTAAAGGTGTGGCAGGCAGGTAAGATTAGTTAGTGAATGACCCTCCCCCACCAGCTTTTCATAAACAAGGTCTGCAGGAATTTTAAGAGTAGAGGCTGGGCTCGGCGCCTATAGCTCAACCGGCTAAGGCGCCAGCCATGTACACCTAAGGTGGTGGGTTCGAATCCCCAGCCCGGACCCGCCAAACAACAATGACGGCTGCAACCAAAAAATAGCCGGGCGTTGTGGTGGGCACCTGTGATCCCAGCTACTTGGGAGGCGGAGGCAGGAGACTCGCTTGAGCCTAGGAGTTGGAGGTTGCTGTGAGCTGTAATGCCACGACACTCTATCCAGGGGGATAGCTTGAGGCTCCGTCTCAAAAAAAAAAAAAAAAGAGTAGAGGCTGAAGGAATACAATAGAGAATATTAATTGCATGTATGTAAACATGTAATCACAATGTACCCAGTGCTCATTCTGGACTACATTCTCGGTCAAATCCTCCAAGCCCTCCCACACTGTCCCCAGTGCCAGGGCTTGAAGGGTATTTTCCACTGCGCTGGCTGTGGGGAGCTACACCACAAGCACGGTCTTCTCTTAGGCGCCCAGAAACCCACGGAAAGGGTATTAGGAACCCCCTCCAATTTCTCTTGTAAATTAGCTGAGGCGCAGAGACTTGTCCAAGTTCACCCAGCCAGTTCGGGAAGGGAAGGGACAGGGTGCGTCTGTGGGGTCGCGAGTGCCCCGGGCTCCGCCTGCCTTTGTGCCAACACTGTGGTCCGGCTCCCAGACATTAGCATTCCAATGGCCCCCGGACGCTTTGTCCTCCGTCAGAGGCTGGCTGGGGGGTGGGGTGGAATGGGGGCAGGGCACCATAAATCTACCTGCTTGTGTGCCGACCCGGCTGGGTGGGGGCGGCGGGGCGGGGCTGGGGGCGCGCAAGATTCTTGGGTTGTTTTTCTGAAGCTAGGCTTGGGCTCAGACAAAGGCAGAAGAAGGAGAAGAGTCACTCCACCCGAAGGTCTCTGCTGCCTGGGTTTGGGATCCTGTCAGAGTTTCAGGGAGCTGGGACGCAGACCAGGAGTCTCAGACCACTGGAGGCTCCGCAGCCAAGGAAGCTCAGACCGGCCGAGGAGGGGCGGGCTCCCAGCGGGGACCAAGCGCCTGACTGGTTTTAAAAGCCACTGAACACAAAATACCCGCGGGAGGTGTGTGTGCGGGGAGGGCGTGTGGGTGGTGATGCCGGGCTGGTTGGACCCGCCACTCCTGGACCTGTTTCTGAGCCGTCCTTCCTGAGAGGCTCTTTGGGAAGAGGCGTGGAGGAGGTTTCCCGCTTCAGCCCCATTCTACCTGCATCCATGGAGCTCATCCAGAGGACGAGTCCCAGACTTTTCTGTGATTCAAACCATGAATCTTCCCCTCCGTCTCCTGATATGGAGAGCTGGGATCATAGCTCTGAGGTCAAATCCACCCAGACCCAAGGTGGCAGCCCAGCAGCCAAGTTGTTTGAGCCATCCCTGTGTGTTTTAATTTGTGGGGCGGAGGACCAGTCCCTGTGTGTTGGGTGACTAATGGCTCCTTAATGAGTGCCCTCAAAAGCAGGAGAGGGGTTGGGCTTGTGGGTGCGGTTGCAACTCCCCTTGTGCCACTGCTGAGAATGAGAACTCAGTGCCAGCAGACACTGCTCCAGTTTCAGGGGGAACCAAGGGAACCCGTTTGTACCAAAGGAGTCTGCCACCTAGAAGAATACTACTTCCCGGAGGACCTGCATGAGAAGAAATATCTTTCCAACTGAGGAATTCCTCTCTCAATGTTTAGTTGTGGCCCAAAGCCATCTCCTCTGGCAAGCCTCCTGAAATCCAGCCCTAGGTAATGAACAGTCTGATCACCCATCCTGGGGCTCCTACCTCCACCTAGCACTGGCACATCTTTAGCCTTGCATGATTTTGTCTACATTCTTGTTACCATCTGGGGAGGGCAGAGAGATCTTCCTACTTTTTATGTATGCCCTCCCCGCCAACACCTAGCAAGGAGCAAACACTTGCTTGGTCTGTGTAGCACAGAGCTGCTGACACCTGCCCCCTTGGCTGGTGGGTGGTGCCCCAGGTGGAAAGTTGGCAGTTACAGAGGTCACCAATAACCCATTAATCTCCTTCTACCAGACTAAAGCCACAAAAAGAAACAACACCTTCATTCATTCTTTTGCTTGTTGTGTCCCCATTCCCGCCCCCCCAAATCCTGCCCCTGATAACTGAGGCATATCTCCTCTGAGGGACTTGGCTGTAAAGGAGAGGAAAAGTTTGATTTGAAGTTCTCTGGGCTAGGAGAGAGACACACACCCATACCAGAGGCATTTACCCCTGAGAAACTGCTACCTTTGTGGTCTAATGTGCAGGAAAGCAATTTGTGCATCAGCTTCTGGCCCCCCCAGCCACACTTCATCCCACTTCTTCAACAATTGACGCACGAGGCCTCTGGGATTCAACTAGCAGGTAGGGTACTTGCCCTCCATTTTCCTATTTCCAAACACAGATGGACTGTGCAGATTCTTACAGCTTAGTCTGGCTTCCTTGAGGCCTTGGTGGGGTGGGGAGTTCCAGAAGCTTCTTTATGAAGGAGGCTTAGCTCCCTTAGCTCCATTAAGCCCTAGGGATGGATTTTCGTGCCTGAGGCACATCTGCCCCATTCCACCTTGGGAGTAAGAGAGATCTTGAGGCTACAAACACTCGAATGGTTTTTTGATAAGCTTTCAATTAGGGCTTTCAGGTATTTGGGAGGGTGGTGGCAGAGATTCTAGCCAGTCTCTCCATCTTCTCTGCACCCTGTCACTCAGCATCATGAGTTTAAGATGCTGTAGCACCATGAGGCTGGTGCATAAAATATCATGAAAATATATATATGTATGTTCTCAGGAGATGCTAGGCTTCTAAGCACATTGGGAAAATTCCTGGGATGCCATGGTGGTGTTTCTGCCACTGAGTTATTACTCTCTGCCCTTCCCCAAGGGCAATAGTAGCTCTGAATTTATGCTAGTGGAGTCCTGGAGCGAAAGGGCCACACAGAGAGTCCATAGCCCTAGTTGGAAGCTTGTCTAACTTCTAAATTCCTGTTTGAGACAAGACAATTCACTGTCACACAAATAATACAAGAGGGTTGGACCCATGGTTTCCTAAGAGAAGTCCAGTTCTGGGCACACAATCTGCCCAGCCTCCATCCAGTGCCCAAGGGAGGAGCCCCAGACATCTAGAAAGAGTGTCATCCCTTTCCTTGGATGGTGGCTCCTGTCCCTCACCCATATAGGCTGAGACCCACCTCTTGGCACAATTAAGTCATCTTATTGAGGTTTCTGGGGGGGTGGGATGGTCCATTTTATTAGCTCAAAATCTCATTCACCAGTTCCTAAATAATCTTATGGACAAAATATAGAGTTTTCCCGCTATGAAATCTCATCAATAAATACAAATGTGTAAAACAAGGGAGAAGTCATATAATTTACCATATCAAACTTCATTTCAAAAGACATCATACAATTTACAAACCCGATTTTGTTTTTTTTAAAGACGCATGGCGCTCCAGGCCGGGGCGGTGCTGGACACAGGGAGGCTGGAGCAGTTCTCCCGAGGCCCGGCCAGGCTTTCCCAGTTCACAGCCGGGTCTTCCACCCCCGGGAAGTCAATGGCTCCGAAAAGTGCACGACGAGAAGGCAGAGGATCGCCTTCGCAGATTAAGGCAGAGTGGAGCACCCTGAAATCGCGAATTTAGGGAGTAGAAGCAGGGAGTAGAAGGGGCGTCTTTGGAGCTGGGGCAGGGGGACAAGAGCTGAAGGACCAAACACTGGTTTAACTCACATTGAGGGAGGGATAAGAGACAGACTGACAGGCAGACAAACTTGAGCGAAGGTACCGCGACCAGAGATGAGCGTCTCTGGCGGAGTAGTGCTACCATTTTTCTCGTCTTTGGACGAGATTTTGGAGTGGCAGCAGGGAGGGTAATAAACGTGCACAACTAGCAAGCCCATCTCGCGCGGGCAGTGGCAAGGCTTACATGAGTTGGTGTGGCACCTGCACCGAGCACTCGAGGATCCAATTCAGCCTGTTGCCCCATCGATTGTCCGGGACAGCCGTGGGTAGCAAAGCAAGAGGCAGGCAGAATAAGTGCGTTTGAGGGTCGCAGCCTCTGCCCACCTTAGACGGGTCTGGCTGCCTCCCTCTGTCCCAGCACCCAGGCCAAGTGAGCGACTGGTCCCTTCACAGAAAGTCTGCAAAAGCCTGAGCACCCGGGCACTGGCAGGCAGGGGAAGCGGCCACACGTAGCCCGGGGCGCTCCTCTAGCGAGGCGGCGGGGCTCAGGCTGCCAGCCTGGGAGGCCGGAGAATAAAGGGAGCCCCAGTCCCCGGCGGAACCGCCGTCTGGGCTGCCCAGCTCCCCGTAGGACAGCGCTGGCGGTTCCAGCCCGTAGAAGCTGTGGTCTGCTATGCGCAGCGTCTGAGTCAGCGCCCAGATGTAGTTGTGAGCAAAACGCAGCGTCTCAATCTTGGTGAGCTTCGCATCATCCGGGAAGGTGGGAAGGACGCCGCGCAGCGCGTCCAGAGCTGAGTTGAGGTTGTGCATTCGATTGCGTTCGCGGTCGTTAGCCTTTTTGCGCCGACTCCGTCTTTGCTTGCTCAATGCCAACTCGTTCTTGGGCCTGCTGCGCCCCCCGCGTCGCGCTCGGAGCTTTCTCGGGGGCCCTCGGCAGCCACCCGCTTCTGCCTCCGCGCAGTCCCTGGGAGTGAGCGCGGGGCTGGGCGGGGCGGATACGGCGCAGGTCACTTGGTGGTCTGAGGCTCTGGGGAAGGGCTGCTTCATCTCACGGGTCACTTGGACCGTGGGTGAACCCAAAGGATGAGGCGCCATCCTGCGGCAGGGTAAGAAGGAAATGTAAGCAGGGCTCAGCTACCGGGCACAGTCCCGGATCCCAAGGGCAGGTAGGAGAAAAACCCAGGAAAAAAGTCACCCCCCATCTCCCTGCCGCATCAGAGGGCCCCTCTTCCCCCGCCAATTCCTTCACAGTCTCTAAATGTTACCTAGTTCTCCCAGCGCAAAAGATAGAGAGCGGCGAGAGCCGCGAGGAGCTGAGCAAGCCTTCACCACCTCAAGTTCAAATGAGCTGCAGGCGCCCCCGCCTGGGAGCTGTCCCAGCTCTAAGACCAGAAGAGTGAAAGCGGTCCCAGCCTCTGTCGCGACCGCAGGGATTTCCTGAACCGCAAGTCGTGTGCCCCTTGGCACGCTTTATCTGCTCGGCCCGAACGAGGAGCGTGCCTGCCAGGCTGCTGCCCCGAGCCACCGGCCAATCAGCGCCAGGACCCGGGGACTGCGCCACGCGAGTCTGCTCCTCCCCAGCAGGGCACAGCTGGATTCCGGACAAAGGGCGGGGGGGGGGGTCGGGGGAGGGGAGAGCGGCTCTGTTTGCTCTATCCTGCCGTCTTGGTCCCAGTAACTCTCGGTTCCTCAAAGAGCCTCGTCTGGCTCGCGTCTGGCCATTCCAGACCTTTTTTCTTGTATCTTTTCTTTGGCACCAATCCAGAGTCCTTCTTGGTACCCCACGGGGGTTTTGGGACGCCTGTACGGTAGGCTGATCCCTCTGTGTTAACACGAGAAAATTAGGCTCTGAGAGGAAGGTGTCTTGCCTCAAATCACACAGCAAGATAGTGGCAGGGATGGAACAAGAAGCCAGGCATCTTAGCTTGGAGGAGAATCCGCTAATTCTAAATGTCACTCTGCTCTCCTGTGCTATGGGGTCAAGTTAATAGACACATGTGGAGTGGTATTTCACTGATCTTTTCTATCCTGGGAGGAAGACAGGAGCAACCACAGAGAAAGATCCTGCCTATGTGATTTCCACCAGAGACCTTGGCCTGGATGTGACCAAGACACCTCGCCGCCCATGGCCTGAGACGCTGCCTCACACTCACCAAAATGTGGGGCTTAAGACCTCACCGTAGCCCCCACTCCCTTTCATCTCACCCTGGAGGTAGAGGATGGCTGTGGGGATGCACCGGTGGACAATACCCCACTACCGCTAGTGAACAATAGTGTTCTGGCCAGGGCCTGCCGCAGGGAGAGCTTGGGAAATGTGGGGAGGTCAGGAGAGGACCAGAGTTCACAGTGAGCCCTTGTGTCTTTTGAATATACTTGGTGTGAGAAATGGATCAACTTTTTCTCCCTTTAGTCTTCCTGTCTAATCACAGTGGGCAGGAGCTGCCTGCCAGTGCTCACCTGGTTTAGCCCGCTGCCTCGACATCATGCAGTGATTGGGTAGCCGGCATGAGTAAGGACTCTCTAAGGACCTAGGTTTGCTCCCTTGGCACTGTCTGGAAATCTCTCTAAAGTGAGTTCCAGCACATTGTCCCTCATTTGCTTCCCCAGCTCCTCCCTTTTGGCCCTGCCTGGGACACCCCATGGTTTTCTGCTCTGGTCACTCAGGGTGAGGGGTTACAGCTTCTGCTCCTTTCTCTGGACCCAGTTTTGCTGGAAGGAAGAAGCCAAGGCCAGGTTAAGTCTTGGGTTAAGGTTTCACCTTTCTAGCATGTCCAGATATCTGGAAACTCTTAAACCTCCCAGAAACTGTGGGAGAGGGCAAGACCCAGCTGGAAGACTGAGGGGATGGGGTGAAGGATTGGCCCTAGGGATGGCGTCTCACTGCACAGGCTGTCTGGGGGCAAATTTTTCTCCAAGGCAGAAGGCAATGTGCTTGGGATCCAGTGAAAAGAGGCACTAGGACTAGGTTGGATTGGGGACACTGTACAACCAATTTAGCTGGTTACTGTGAGCAGAGGCTCCTTTTCTTACTGGGGAGGAGAATGAAGCTTGAGGTCAGGGTCAGGACTAACAAAATGGCTGCTTGGGACTCTTGGGCTCCACATTTTGCTGTGGCTCATCTCTTAAGTCAGGTCACCACTTACTACAACTGGTCTTCTAGCCATAAGAATGAGAACTCAAGGCCCATTTTATAGATGGAAAAGTCAAGGCCCAGAGAAGGGAAATGACTTTCCCGACTTTTTAATTAAAGTGACTTTAATAGCAAGTTCTATTAAAACCATATGGAACTCTGGCTGTAGGACTCCTAGTCCTAGATTTGCCCTTGAACCAGCTCCCTCTTTTTTATTTGGGGGACATTTTTCCCAAGGTAAATCAAGAGATTCCCCCAATGCAGAAAATAGTGGCAATCCTGAGCCTAGGAATGCCAGGGCCAGAAAAGAAATGGAAAAGGCCCCATTTCCCATCCAAGGGGAGCCAGTATCCACTTACCGTCCACTTTTAAAACAAACTTTTCTTCTGCATTCCCAAACTTTGCTTGATTCATACCCCTGAAAATTAGGAACTGATAGAGAAAACCTATGCTTCCTTGGGGCCCCCAGACCCAGCCAAGCTCTGTGGGGGAAGGCCAGGCCAGAAGGATCAAAACGTTCCTGGGGTTCCCTGGAGGCCTAAGAAACAGTCCACAGCAGAGGCTGTAGACAGGAGTGTTACCTGCTCTAGCAACTAACTGCCTGGAGGATCTAATGGATACTGACAAGAGTGGCAGGTAGAGCTTCCTGAGCCAGGAAAGACTCAGGATTCTTGTGAACTTTCCTGATCAGAAGACAATTCTGAGACCCCCCTTGAAATTCTTATCTAGCCTCCCCACAATCCCTCTGGCTCAGTGCCCTCAAGAACATGCCAGCCGCCATCACTCAAGCTTTGCGCAAAAAACAGACAGGGGCGCACAGCGGTCTGGGAAAGCTGCCTCCTTGCTAGACGCAAGAACTTTCTACTGCCTGCTTTGGCTAAGAGGCTGGGGCCAGAGGTTGAAGAGTCCTAGGGAATTAGAGCGTCAGGATCCATGCCTTCACTCTCAGCTGCAGGGCACACACTGATCACTCTCCAAAATCAATTCTCTGTGCTTTTGGTGGTAGAGGCGCAGGCAGCCAAGATTTCGTGCGCTCTGGCTGTGTTTGTGAAATGGTTCTTCCTGCCGCGAGCAGAGCCTGTTCTTGAAGCCCCGGATCATCCACCGCCTCTAAGACTTCTGGTACCCCCGCGTCCCTCTAACTCTTGAGACCTAAGCTTTCCAGGAGGCTGAGGGGGTCTGGGAGAGATGCGACAGCCAGATGCCTGGAGACCGTGGGCAGATTGGAAAAGAAGGAAGGCAGCGGCTGGCCCTGCCCCCTTCCAGTCGTCTGGGGGGAATTTTAGCATTGCCTGGGGGCTCTTTGAGAATCGCACGGGGAGGGAGGAGGCATGGGAAGCTGAATAGCTAATGGTTTGCCAGAGGAGGGGGCTTCTTTCTCTCGCCTTCAGCTCGGCACTGAAAGAGGGGAAGACAAAAATCTGGCGAGCGAGCTGCTCCGGCCGAGACTGGCCACTTCAAACAGCCCTTCAAACAAAAGGAGAGGACGAAAAGAAAGCCCCACCTGTCTCCAGTGTTTGCTAAAATAATAATAAATAGATTTCGTTTAATAAATAATTACAAGAGATTGTAAAGTGGAGTGCTTTGGAAAACATCTACCACGGGAGTCGGTGCAGCCAGCCGTCACCTGCTCCCAAGGCGAACAACTTTATTGTTAAGCCACCCCCCAACTAGTTCGCCTCTGATAAACTCTCCCTCGTTTTCACAATGACTGTTTACTCATAGTTAGCACAATATTACCTTTGCCGTGATAAACCCGGAGGGGGGAGACCTGGCCCCTGGCCCCTGGGCACACCTGTCCCAGAAGCTGACACATGGATTTGGCTCCGAGCAGGCCTCCCCCGGGGGCCCTGCCCCCGTGTACATTGGCCCAATTGACACTCATTTATAACAGGTTGGCTGTAAGGCCTATCTCGGTCCTATTTGTCTTCTTTTATTGAAAGCATATGGTCTCCAGGGGCTCACCAGCCCCATATTTCATCTGCCAGGAGCTGGGGCGCTTCCGCAGGCTGGTGCTGCCCAGCGCGCTGCTCCCCACCCAACGGCTGCTGTGCCAGCTGAGGGGATGGTGGAGGCAGGGTGGGGAGAGATAAGGCAGCTCCTCACCCGCTTTCAGAGAGAAGCCATTACCTCAGAGACCCCCCTCTCCCCAGGCCCAGGGACTTCGTGCGCTCTTGAAAGGGTGGATGGTTCTTTTTCTTGGGTAGGTGAGAGGGCGCCATATGCCACCCCCTAGAGCGCACTAGGGAGGTCCGGCCCAGGGAACCTTCGAACAAAGGGAGGAGAGGGCCCGGGCGCTCAGGAGGGCCGGAGGTCTTTATTTCCAGATCCTCCTCCCTGCCCAAGGCCGCTTCCCCCCCGGGCGTCCCCAGCTAGCGCGCAGGGCCTGGAAACAAAGTGTCCACATTATCCCCGCCGACGGCTGGGACAGTCAATGAGTGAAAAGGTGCATTGCGCACCAAGACACCTGTTGAAGCGGCGCCTCTTCTCAGCGCCTCTTTGCTCTGCGCTCAGTTAGGAGCTGCGCGGGGAGTGGGGGGCGGGAGGAGGGAGAGATACTGTGATTTGTGGCGACATATGTTGAGCAGATCGGTGTGTACTCTTCACAGGGACACATGCATCCTCGCTCCCATACACACCCCGCGAGAAGGAGCAGCTGCTCTCCTCACCTTCTCCAGACATAATACCTGGGCCAGGCGCTTTGGCCTCGTCTTTTGAGACTCCAGCTCTCCCCCACCCTTTCTGTCTTCCGCCCCCACCCACTCCTCTAATCTTTGGCAGCTTTGCTGTAGGACTTTATTGTCAAATTTAACAGATGCACGTTTGTTCCCAGAGCCTGGCCCCAAACACACACACACACACACACACACACACACACACTCTGAGGCATCCACAGAAAACGCGACTGATGACACAGATGCGGAGCGTTAAGCCCATATGTCCGGCTCTGAGCCTGCCTGGGCTG